CCAATACACCTCGTCAAGCACTACATAGTCCAGCAATTATACTGTAGCTTGATAGATGGGTATATCAAACACTGTATAGATGTTCTGAAGATATGACATCATACTAAGAATCAACCAACTATTTGCATGTTTGTCGATAGATTAATACCGATGTGGGGCATGACGTTGTCTAAGAAAAATACTAAAAACAATAACACAGCAAACCAGCGGCTATATCTAGATTGCATTGCAGTTTCAAAAAACAGTGTCAATACTGTTAGTAATTAAGTACTACGTGACTAGAAATTGATTATCAAAAATTAAATCATTCAAATTGTGTTATGTACATTAGTTCATTTGGGAAAAGTCCAAACCAAATAAACATTTGCCACAGCAAAGCATGCCGGCGTCCTCTGATAAAAGAAGCTTAACTACTCAAAAATACAATGAGGCCAAATAAGCATGACTTATTTGATTATCTGATAAGCATATCAGTGACAATAATCTTCAAGTGCTGCAGTCCAGTACACACACACGAGATAAGTAACATTAACAATCTCATATATTATGTGTGTATATATATATATGTATGTGTGTATATATATATGTATATGTATGTGTATGTGTATATGTATATGTATATGTATGTGTATGTGTATATATATATATATATATGTGTATATATATATATATATATATATACAGTGGGTAGAACAAGTATTTGATACACTGCCGATTTTGCAGGTTTTCCTACTTACAAAGCATGTAGAGGTCTGTAATTTTTATCATAGGTACACTTCAACTGTGAGAGACGGAATCTAAAACAAAAATCCAGAAAATCACGTTGTATGATTTTTAAGTAATGAATTTGCATTTTATTGCATGACATAAGTATTTGATCACCTACCAACCAGTAAGAATTCCGGCTCTCACAGACCTGTTAGTTTTTCTTTAAGAAGCCCTCCTGTTCTCCACTCATTACCTGTATTAACTGCACCTGTTTGAACTCGTTACCTGTATAAAAGAAACCTGTCCACACACTCAATCAAACAGACTCCAACCTCTCCACAATGGCCAAGACCAGAGAGTTGTGTAAGGACATCAGGGATACAATTGTAGACCTGCACAAGGCTGGGATGGGCTACAGGACAATAGGCAAGCAGCTTGGTGAGAAGGCAACATCTCTTGGCGCAATTATTAGAAAATGGTTCAAGATGACCGTCAATCACTCTCGGTCTGGGGCTCCATGCAAGATCTCACCTCGTGGTGCATCAATGATCATGAGGAAGGTGAGGGATCAGCCCAGAACTACACGGCAGGACCTGGTCAATGACCTGAAGAGAGCTGGGACCACAGGCTCAAAGAAAACATTAGTAACACACTACGCCGTCATGGATTAAAATCTTGCAGCGCACGCAAGGTCCCCCTGCTCAAGCCAGCGCATGTCCAGGCCCGTCTGAAGTTTGCCAATGAGCATCTGGATGATCCAGAGGAGGAATGGGAGAAGGTCATGTGGTCTGATGAGACAAAAATATAGCTTTTTGGTCTAAACTCCACTCACCGTGTTTGGAGGAAGAAGAAGGATGAGTACAACCCCAAGAACACCATCCCAACGTGAAGCATGTAGGTGGAAACATCAATCTTTGGGGATGCTTTTCTGCAAAGAGGACAGGACGACTGCACCGTATTGAGGGGAGGATGGATGGGGCCATGTATCGCGAGATCTTGGCCAACAACCTCCTTCCCTCAGTAAGAGCATTGAAGATGGGTCGTGACTGGGTCTTCCAGCATGACAACGACCCGAAACACACAGCCAGGGCAACTAAGGAGTGGCTCCGTAAGAAGCATCTCATGGTCCTGGAGGGGCCTAGCCAGTCTCCAGACCTGAACCCAATAGAACATCTTTGGAGGGAGCTGAAAGTCCGTATTGCCCAGCGACAGCCCCGAAACCTGAAGGATCTGGAGAAGGTCTGTATGGAGGAGTGGGTCAAAATCCCTGCTGCAGTGTGTGCAAACCTGGTCAAGACCTACAGGAAACGTATGATCTCTGTAATTGCAAACAAAGGTTTCTGTACCAAATATTAAGTTCTGCTTTTCTGATGTATCAAATACTTATGTGGCGGCAGGTGGCTTAGTGGTTAAGAGCGTTGTGCCAGTAACCGAAAGGTCGCTGGTTCTAATCCCAGAGAATCTGTCGATGTGCCCTTGAGCAAGGCACTTAACCCTAATTGCTTCTGTAAGTCGCTCTGGATAAGAGCGTCTGCTAAATGACTAAAATGTAAAATGTTATGTCATGCAATAAAATGCAAATTAATTACTTAAAAATCATACAATGTGATTTTCTGAATTTTTGTTTTAGATTCCGTCTCTTACAGTTGAAGTGTACCTATGATAAAAAATTAGAGACCTCTACATGCTTTGTAAGTAGGAAAACCTGCAAAATCGGCAGTGTATCAAATACTTGTTAGTCAGCCACCAATTGTGCAAGTTCTCCCACTTAAAAAGATGAGGCCTGTAATTTTCATCATAGGTACACGTCAACTGTGACAGACAAATTGAGAAAAACTATTCCAGAAAATCACATTGTAGGATTTTTAATGAATTTATTTGCAAATTATGGTGGAAAATATGTATTTGGTCGCCTACAAACAAGCAAGATTTCTTGCTCTCACAGAACTGTAACTTCTTCTTTAAGAGGCTCCTCTGTCCTCCACTCGTTACCTGTATTAATGGCACCTGTTTGAACTTGTTATCAGTATAAAAGACACCTGTCCACAACCTCAAACAGTCACACTCCAAACTCCACTATGGCCAAGACCAAAGAGCTGTCAAAGGACACCAGAAACAAAATTGTAGACCTGCACCAGGCTGGGAAGACTGAATCTGCAATAGGTAAGCAGCTTGGTTTGAAGAAATCAACTGTGGGAGCAATTATTAGGAAATGGAAGACATACAAGACCACTGATAATCTCCCTCGATCTGGGGCTCCACGCAAGATCTCACCCCGTGGGGTCAAAATGATCACAAGAACGGTGAGCAAAAATCCCAGAACCACACAGGGGGACCTAGTGAATGACCTGCAGAGAGCTGGGACCAAAGTAATAAAGCCTACCATCAGTAACACACTACGCCACCAGGGACTCAAATCCTGCAGTGCCAGACATGTCCCCCTGCTTAAGCCAGTACATGTCCAGGCCCGTCTGAAGTTTGCTAGAGTGCATTTGGATGATCCAGAAGAGGATTGGGAGAATGTCATATGGTCAGATGAAACCAGAATATAACTTTTTGGTAAAAACTCAACTCGTCGTGTTTGGAGGACAAAGAATGCTGAGTTGCATCCAAAGAACACCATACCTACTGTGAAGCATGGGGGTGGAAACATCATGCTTTGGGGCTGTTTTTCTGCAAAGGGACCAGGACGACTGATCCGTGTAAAGGAAATAATTAATGGGGACATGTATCGTGAGATTTTGAGTGAAAACCTCCTTCCATCAGCAAGGGCATTGAAGATGAAACGTGGCTGGATCTTTCAGCATGACAATGATCCCAAACACACCGCCCGGGCAACGAAGGAGTGGCTTCGTAAGAAGCATTTCAAGGTCCTGGAGTGGCCTAGCCAGTCTCCAGATCTCAACCCCTCCCTCTTTGGAGGGAGTTGAAAGTCCGTGTTGCCCAGCGACAGCCCCAAAACATCACTGCTCTAGAGGAGATATGCATGGAGGAATGGGCCAAAATACCAGCAACAGTGTGTGAAAACCTTGTGAAGACTTAGAGAAAACGTTTGACCTGTGTCATTGCCAACAAAGGGTATATAACAAAGTATTGAGAAACTTTTGTTATTGACCAAATACTTATTTTCCACCATAATTTGCAAATAAATTCATTAAAAATCCTACAATGTGATTTTCTGGATTTTTGTTTCTCATTTTGTCTGTCATAGTTGACGTGTACCTATGATGACAATTACAGGCCTCTCTCATCTTTTTAAGTGGGAGAACTTGCACAATTGGTGGCTGACTAAATACTTTTTTTCCCCCACTGTATGTATTTATGTATGTATGTATGTATGTATGTATGTATGTCTACACACACACACACATATATATATATATATACACACATACATAATATATGAGATTGTTAATGTTACTTATCTCGTGTATATATATATATATATATATATATATATATATATATATATATATATATATATATATATATATATATATACACACACACATACATATACACACATATATATATATACATACACACATATATATACATATACACATGAGATAAGTAACATTAACAATCTCATATATTTAAGGCACTAGTAGGTGTGGGAACAGGTTACGATGCAGCAAGTCTCACAGTACACATAGAAAGAGTGACATCTAAGCATCAGTCAACGACTCGACTAAGTTATTTTGCCCATGCGACATCAATGCAGCGCGTGGAACAACCTTTTCAGACCACTGACGGTACACACTGTAAACACAGAGGACATTAGGAAACACACAGTAACACCTTTACACCACAATGAACCAACAAACGAACGGAGACACACATCTGCTGTCCTAGCACTGGAGACTGGGATGGCTTAACGAGTGATGTGATTAGCACACATGCTAGATAGAAGGCAATATAGAAAAACGGGAGAAAGGGGGTTGAGAAAATAACCTCAATCCCCTCCATTTTACCCATTTCATAGGGATAACCATTCGATCCAAATGACAAAGTAGAGCAAATGTGCAAAAACACATTAAAAGTGAGAATTTCTTAAATCATTCATGAAATCATTATTTTTTTCCTGATGTTTTTTTTTTTGTTTGTTTTTTAAAGCTTACGGTTTCAATTCTATTATCATCACCATCAACCAACATGATTTGTAAAAGTCAAAGGGGGGAGGGGGGGTTCTTTATCTGTCATAACTTTAGAGATGACAGACGAAGGCCTTGGTTGTAGTGGTCAATGCTGGCTGCCCCTGCTGGCCCATGGCCCTGGGTGGCTGGTTCTTAGATGTAAGGGTACTGGTTGAGTTTGGTGGGGCTGAGGGGAAAACCTGTATAGGCGGGCGAGGCGATGTAGGAGTGTGGGGGAAAGAGGGGCTTGTACTGGCCCTGGTGGTGGATGGTGGGCGAGGGCAGCAGCCGGTGGTTGATGCCCATGGTCACCTGGTGGACAATGCCGTAGGTGGGCTGTAGGACGGGCCGCTGGGCGCAGGGCGAGGCCAAAAGGTGGGCGACGGGCGCTGAGGGAGGATAGGAGAGTAGGGCGGCCTGTGGGTGGTGCCCCGAGTTGTGGGTGGGGCTGCTGTGGGAGAGGGTGAACGCGTGGCCGTGCACCGTGGGAGGGATGTAAGCGTGCGGCCGCCGGTGCTGCCCATAGTTTCCGTTCCACTCCTTGTTGCAGGAGCCGTAATGCTGGACCTGAGGGTGGGCAGAGGAGAGGGAGAAACCGTTAGACAACACTACAAACTAAGTCACTCTAGATAAGAGTACCTGCTAAATTACTAAAATGTTAAAGTGTAAACAAAGTAAAATGCAGGTAGAACTAGATTTGAATGACAAAACCTGGAAGAGACCAGTAAGAAGGGGGGACTGACCTGGCCAAAGCCCAGGGGCTGCTGCTGGAATGCGGTCATCTTCTGTTGCTGCTGAGGATGGAGAGGCGTGGAGTGGTGGTTCAGTCGTCTGGGGGCGCAACGCCCTTTGGACTGGCATGCGGATCCGAAGACTGCAAGAGAAACCAGAAAAGGGCTCGGTAAGACTAACAGATAAAATATGTATTTTAATATGACAGGGTAAAACAAGACCATTAAGGACCCACTGGAAACGAGAGCATGTCTTGCTGAAACACACACACAGAGAGAGAGAGACTTTGGCAGATAGAAATGCTCCTTCTTGCTAGTGGTAATGAAGACCATTAGTATTCATCTCTGTTTCATCGTCATAGCCCACTAGAGATGAGCTCTATTTGGCACCAGGTCTGAGGCTTACAATCAGCAGATGGCACATGGATTCGATTCCATGGCTAAGGGTGGCAGGTAGCCTTGCAGTTATAGCGTAGGGCCAGTAAACAAAAGGTCGCAGGTTTGAATACCCAAGCCGACAAGGTGAAAAATCTGTCTATTTGCCCTTGAGCAAGGCATGTAACCCCATAGAGTCGATTAACGCACCGGTGCGTCAATCTAAATTACATAACAAAATCCCCATCAAAATCCTTCAGTTTAAGCTCGAGACATGTTTTTTTTGCATTGGATGCATCTCAATCCACAGCATCCTTCAGTGTCGCACTTCCACATCTGCTGTGAAAGGTGGCAGAGCTAGAGCGGTGTTTGTCAGACCATGAGAAATCCCAAAAATCTTTCTCACGTAAACGTCTGTAGCATTCGCATGGTTTAAACTACAGACTATTATGACCACTCTGGAAAGGGGAGACTCTCATGGACAAAAGTGTCATGGGACATGTCTGAAGGTAACTGGCACCAGTTTTTAAAAAATACGTGTAAAATAATATATCCTGAACAAAAATATAAAACGCAACATGTAAAGTGTTCGTCCCATTTTTCATTAGCTGAAAAAAAAGATCACAGAAACGTTGCATATGCAAAAAAGCTTATTTCTCTCAAATGTTGTGTTACAAGTTTGTTTACATCCCTGTTAGTGAGCATTTCTCCTTTAATCCAGCCACCTGACTCGTGTGGCATATCAAGAAGCTGATTAAACAGCATGATCATTACACAGGTGCACCTTGTGCTGGGGACAATAAAAGACAACTAAAATTGGCAGTTTTGTCATGCAACACAATGCTACAGATGTCAAGTTTTAAGGGAGCATGCAATTGCCATGATGACTGCAGGAATGTCCAACAGTGCTGTTGCCATAGAATTTACATTAATTTCTCTAACATAAGCCACAGAACATTCCACCGGCCGGCCTCACAACCGCAGACCACATGTAACCACGCCAGCCCAGGACCACCAGAACCTGCCTCTTCACCTGCGGGATCGTCTGAGGGGGAGTGCTGAAGAGTAATTATGTCATTGATTGGCTGGGCCTGGCTCCCAAGTGGGTGGGCCTATGCCCTCTCAGGCCCACCCATGGTTGTGCCCCTGCCCAGTCATGTGAAATCCATATATTAAAGGCCTAATGAATTCATTTCAATTGACTGATTTCCTTCTATGAACGGATTCAGTAAAATCGTTGAAATTGTTGCATGTGGCGTATATATATTTTTGTTCAGTATATACAGTGCATTCGGGAAAGTATTCAGACCCCTTCACTTCTTCCACATTTTGAAACGTTACAGCCTTATTCTAAAATGGATGAAATATTATTTTTTTCTCAATCTACACACAATGCCCCATAATGACAAATCGAAAACAGGTTTTTAAAAATGTTAACAAATATAAAAAACAGAAATACGTTATTTACATAAGTATTCAGACCCTTTGCTATGAGACTTGAAATTAAGCTCAGGTGAATCCTGTTTCCATTGATCATCCTTAAGATGTTTCTAAAACATAATTTGAGTCCACATGTGGCAAATTCAATTAATTGGACATTTGGAAAGGCACACACCTGTCTATATAAATGTCCCACAGTTGACAGTGCATGTCAGAGCAAAAACCAAGCCATGAGGTCAAAGGAACTGTCAATAGAACTCCGAGACAGGTTTGTGACGAGGCACAGATCTGGGGAAGGGTACCAAAAATGTTTTGCAGCATTGAAGGTCCCCAAGAACACCTAGGCCTCCATCATTGTTAAATGGAAGAAGTTTGGAAACCCCAAGACTCTTCCTAGAGCTGACTGCCCGGCCAAACTGAGCAATCGGGGGACAAAGGCCTTGGTCAGGGAGGTGACCAAGGACCTGATGGTCACTGACAGAGCTCCAGAGTTCCTATGTAGAGATGGGATAACCTTCCAGAAGGACAATCATCTCTGCAGCACTCCACCAAATCAGGCCTTTATGGTAGTGGCCAGACGGAAGCCACTCCTCAGTAAAAGGCACATGACAGCCAGCTTGGAGTTTGCCAAAAGGCACCTAAAGGACTTTCAGACCATGAGAAACAAGATTTTCTGGTCTGATGAAGTCAAGATTGGCCTGAATGCCAAGCGTCACGTCTGGACGAAACCTGGAACCATCCCTATGGTGAAGCATGGTGGTGGCAGCATCATGCTGTGGGGATGTTTTTCAGCAGAAGGGACTGGGAGACTAGTCAGGATCGAGGGAAAGATCAACAGAGCAAAACACAGAGAGATCCTTGATGAAAACCTGCTCCAGAGCGCTCAGGACCTCAAACTGGGGTGAAGGTTCACCTTCCAACAGGACAACAACCCTAAGCACACAGCCAAGACAACGCAGGAGTGGCTTTGGGACAGGAGTGGCCCAGCCAGAGCCCAGACTTTAACCTGATCGAACATCTCTGGAGAGACCTGAAAATAGCTGTGCAGCGACGCTTCCCATCCAACCTGACAGAGCTTGAGAGGATCTGTAGAAAAGAATGGGAGAAACTCCCCAAATACAGGTGTGCCAAGCTTGTAGATTCATACCCAAGAACACTTGATGCTGTAATCACTGCCAAAGGTGCTTAAACAAAGTACTGAGTAAAGGGTCTGAATACTTATGTAAATGTGATATCAGTTTTCTATTTTTAATAAATGTGCAACAATTTCTAAAAACCTGTCATTATGGGGTAGTGTGTGTAGATTGTTGAGGGGGGAAAAAACAATTTAAATTAACTTTACAATAAGGCTGTAACGTAACAAAATATGGAAAAAGTCAAGGGTCTGTATACTTTCCGAAACACTATATATATTTTGAGTTTAAAACAAATATATATCCTAGATTTAGGACAGACACTGTAAAACCTTGTTTCTTATGATTCATTTTTTGACTGTCCTTTTTGCCATTTATGAATGTGTTACTCAATGCGTTTTTATGGACTTTAGTAGTATGTTTTTGATACCTAAAGGGGTCCTAAAATTCAAAATCAGATAGCTAAATGATCCATAGTATGACCCCCCCCCCCAACGTCTTAGCCTCTAAAGAATTGACCCCAATTTGCTCCGGGGCGCGTACTCCTATGGCTGACCCTGCAAAAACAACAGATTTCACTGCACCTACAGTGCCTTGCAAAAGTATTCATCCCCCTTGGCGTTTTTCCTATTTTGCTGCATTACAACCTGTAATTTAAATATTTTTATTTGGATTTCATGGAATGGACATACACAAAATTGTTAAATAAAGTCTACCTGTGTTCAATCTAAGTGTCACAAGATCTGTCACATGATCTCAGTATATATACACTTGAAGACCAAGGAGCTCTCCAAACAGGTCAGGGACAAAGTTGTGGAGAAGTACAGATCAGGGTTGGGTAAAATTTTTTTTATAAATTTGAACATCCCACGGAGCACCATTAAATCCATTATTAAAAAATTGAAAGAATATGGCACCACAACAAACCTGCCAAGAGAGGGCCGCCCACCAAAACTCACGGACCAGGCAAGGAGGGCATTAATCAGAGAGGCAACAAAGAGACCAAAGAAAACCCTGAAGGAGCTGCAAAGCTCCACAGCGGAGATTTGAGTATCTGTTTCATAGGACCACTATAAGCCGTACACTCCACAGAGCTGGGCTTTACGGAAGAGTGGCCAGAAAAAAGCCATTGCTTAAAGAAAAAATGTTTTGGTGTTCGCCAAAAGGCATGTGGGAGACTCCCAAAACATATGGAAGAAGGTATTCTGGTCAGATGAGACTAAAATTGAGCTTTTTGGCCATCAAGGAAAACGCTATGTCTGGCGCAAACCCAACACCTCATCACCCCGAGAACACCATCCCCACAGTGAAGCATGGTGGTGGCAGCATCATGCTGTGGGGATGTTTTTCCATAGGCAGGGACTGGGAAACTGGTCAGAATTGAAGGAATGATGGATGGCGCTAAATACAGGGAAATTATTGAGGGAAACCTGTTTCAGTCTTCCAGATATTTGAAACTGGATCAGGAGGTTCACCTTCCAGCAGGACAATGACCCTAAGCATACAGTTAAAGCAACACTCGAGTGGTTTAAGGGGAAACATTTAAATGTCTTGGAATGGCCTAGTCAATACCCAGACCTCAATCCAATTGAGAATCTGTGGTATGACTTAAAGACCGCTGTACACCAGCGGGACCCATCCAACTTGAAGAATGGGCAAAACTCCCAGTGGCTAGATGTGCCAAGCGTATAGAGACATACCCCAAGAGACTTGCAGCTGTAATTGCTGCAAAAGGTGGCTCTACAACGTATTAACTTTGGGGGGAGGTGAATAGTTATGCACGGTCAAGTTCTGTTTTTTTTCTTATTTCTTGTTTGTTTCACAAGAAAAATATTTTGCATCTTCAAAGTGGTAGGCATGTTGTGTAAATCAAATAATACAACCCCCCCCCAAAATACATTTTAATTCCAGGTTGTAAGGCAACGAAATAGGAAAAATGCCAAGGGGGGTGAATACTTTCACAAGCCACTGTATCAGGTGTATGGCCCGTGGTTTGAATTGAAGAGGGCAGTCCATACGCACAGATGAAGGATATCAAGAATCTGGAAAAATTCTGTATGGTGGAATGACCTAAGATCCTTCCCAATGTGTTCTCCAATCTTATAAAACATTTTGGAAAAAGGCTCAGTGTCATTTTCCTCGTGAGATATTAAAAGTTATTAAAAACAATGATTTAGCCAATCATTTTGTTAAACAAAATCTTTCTCTGAGCAATTGTATTAGTATAAAATAATAAAATGTTCACAATAAAACACAATATAGCTCAGTATTTCTATAATTTCTTTTATACAGTCTTTATCAAGGGTGCCAATCATTTTGTACCGGACAGATCCAATCCGATTTAGAAAGTGGACAGTCCTTTGCACTGTGTAAAAGTAGGGCTGTGACGGTCATGGAATTTTGGATGACTGTTATTGGTCAGCCAAATGACGGCGTCATTCTCCTCCGCTCCTGACTGCATGTGCTGGTTGGTGCTGCAGGGAGGGGGGCCTAGACAACCAAAGACTAGTTTGCTACGACACCTTGCTTGTTTCAGCAAAGAGCAACAACTTTTCATCACATTATAAAAAGAGTCCATGTTACCGCAAAAACTGACTCAACTGCACAAATCCCGGCCGTCCTCTCTTCAGTCATCTGTTTCCTGCAATTCTACACTTTTCTCCATGGAGCCGAGAGTAATCGTTGCAGTTTAAAAGCAAATTTCCTGCAATTCTATGAATTTTGCTCAAACATATAATGAATACTGCTAAATTCACAGTTTTCTGAATTTTCTGTTCTCTGACTGTCTAGCTTTTATTTTGGTAATTGTTAGTTCTCAAAGATCATACTATTACAAAATATATAGGTCCATTATCTTTGACATATCTGGTTTTAGTCGTTTAAGTTTACACTGAAAGCATTTCTCTATCCCCCCCCCCCCAAAATTTTTTAAAAATATTTTTATACTGCTTGGAAGTAGGCAGCCCGAAAAAAACGCTTAGGCGGCCCGCCCAAGGATTTCAATGGCAGAAAAAACCCTGCCATGATGCACTGTACATTAATATTCAAGAACATCTGACAGTGCAGATGGATAGTTCGAGGTTGATCATGTCTGGATTGTGGCATCGCCAGTGTCTTATGATTGCAATTAGGGCTGACCCCAATTAGTCGACTGGTCGAATGTTTGGTCGTTAGGCTGTTGGTCGACCGAGATGGTCTTAGACGAGCAGTAACACACACACACACAGACACACACACACACACACACTACCGTTAAAAAGTTTAGGGACACTTAATTTCCTTGTTTACGAAAGAAAAGCACATTTTTTGTCCATTAAATTAACATCAAATTGATCAGAAATACAGTGTACACATTGTTAATGTTGTAAATGGCTATTGTACCTGGAAACGGCTGATTTTTAGTGGAATATCTACATAGGCGTACAGAGGCCCATTATCAGCAAACCATCAGTCCTGTGTGCCAATGGCACGTTTTGTTTGCTAATTCAAGTTTATCATTTTAAAAGGCTAATTGATCATTAGAAAACCCTTTTGCAATTATGTTAGCACAGCTGAAAAACTGTTGTGCTGCTTAAGAAGCAATACAAACTGGCCCTTCTTGAGACTAGTTGAGTATCGGAACATCGGCAATTGTTGGTTCAATTACAGGTTCAAAATGCCAGAACAAGGCTTTCTTCTGAACTCGTCAGTCTATCTTGTCTGAGAATGAAGGCTATTCCATGCGGAAATTGCCAAGAAACTGAAGATCTCGTACAACGCTGTGTACTACTCATTCACCGAACAGCGCAAACTGGCCTAACCAGAATAGAAAGAGGAGTGGAGCCCCGGTGACAACTGAGCAAGAAGACAATACCATTAGAGTGTCTAGTTTGAGAAACCGATGCCTCACAGGTCCTCAACTGGCACTCTTAAATAGTACTCGCAAACACCAGTCTCACAAAAATCTCAACGTCAACAGTGAAGAGGCGACTCCAGGATGCTGACTAGGCAAGTTGCAAAGAAAAATCCATATCCTCAGACTGGCCATAAAATTAAATATTTAAGATGGGCAGTCTGAAATATGGCTTTTTTCTTTGCAACTCTGCCTAGAAGGTCAGCATCCCGGAGTCGCCTCTTCACCGTGACGTTGAGACTTTTTTTTTTTTCATTTAGTCATTTAGCAGACGCTCTTATCCAGAGCGACTTACAGTTAGTGAGTGCATTACATTTTTTTCATACTGGCCCCCCGTGGGAATCGAACCCACAACCCTGGCGTGCAAACTGCCAATGCTCTACCAACTGAGCTACACGGGACCCTGAGTTCTACCACAACGCTGGCCAAAACAAGAGTTAAATGATTCCAGTCTGCCGTGAAGAGTTCATCCATGTATACGGGTAAGGGTCTAGCTACATTTTCAGATATTATACATTTCTAATTTTGTCAGAAAGTCGTTTTCATTGCAAGTTAAAGCGTACTGTTAGCTAGCTTGAGAACATTAGCTTGCTGACTCGCTAACTAACGTTACGTGTATGATCTGTGCAGTAATATTATTCGAATCAGAAATACCATTTGCAATCTTAGTTATAGACTAATGTTAGCTAGCTAACATTGAAACTGGTTGGTTAGCTTTTGCTACCTACAGATTCATACTATAGCTATGACAATGTTTGTATTGGTTAGTAGAGTTGTGATTATGCCGGTTCATTGTTTAGATAGATAGCTACATATCTAACCAAAACACTTTGCCAGATGATTACATGACCCATTAAGTTAGCCAGGTGTGTCTGGGGGTGATTACGGCCATCTATTGTATTTCATGAACAAGTGTACACTTAGCTAGATGTGGCTGGTTGGTAATAGCATTTGCTTCACATGACCCATCAATTTAGACAAGTGTGTCAGGTAAGCGTCATCTAATTTTTTATTTATTTCACCTTTATATAACCAGGTAAGCCAGTTGAGAACAGGTTCTCATTTACAACTGCGACCTGGCCAAGATAAAGCAAAGTAGTGCAATAAAAACAACACAGAGTTACATATGGGGTAAAAAACATAAAGTCAGAAATACAACAGAAAAAATATATACAGTGTGTGCAAATGTAGCAAGTTATGGAGGTAAGGCAATAAATAGGCTATAGTGCAGAATAATTACAATATTATTAACACTGGAATGCTAGATGTGCAAGAGATTATGTGCAAATAGAGATACTGGGGTGCAAAAGAGCAAAATAAATAACAATATAGGGATGAGGTAGTTGGGTGGGCTAATTTCAGATGGGCTGTGTACAGGTGCAGTGATCGGTAAGGTGCTCTGACAACTGATGCTTAAAGTTATTGAGGGAGATAAGAGTATCCAGCTTCAGAGATTTTTGCAATTCGTTCCAGTCATTGGCAGCAGAGAACTGGAAGGAATGGCGGCCAAAGGAGGTGTTGGCTTTGGGAATGACCAGTGAGATATACCTGCTGGAGCGCAGACTATGGGTGGGTGCTGCTATGGTGACCAATGAGCTAAGATAAGGCGCCTAGCAGTGATTTATAGATGGCCTGGAGCCAGTGGGTTTGACGACGAACATGTAGTGAGGACCAGCCAACAAGAGCGTACAGGTCACAGTGGTGGGTAGTGTATGGGGCTTTGGAGACAAAACGGATGGCACTGTGATAGACTACATCCAATTTGCTGAGTAGAGTGTTGGAGGCTATTTTGTAAATGACATCGCCGAAGTCAAGGATCGGTAGGATAGTCAGTTTTACAAGGGCATGTTTGGCAGCATGAGTGAAGGAGGCTTTGTTGCGAAATAGGAAGCCGATTCTAGATTTAACTTTGGATTGGAGATTCTTTATGCGAGTCTGGAAGTTGAGTTTACAGTCTAACCAGACACCTAGGTATTTGTAGTTGTCTACATACTCTAGGTCAGACCCGTCGAGAGTGGTGATTCTAGTCGGGTGGGCGGGTGCCAGCAGCGTTCGATTGAAAAGCATGCATTTAGTTTTACTAGTGTTTAAGAGCAGTTGGAGGCTACTGAAGGATTGTTGTATGGCATTGAAGCTCGTTTGGAGGTTTGTTAACACAGTGTCCAATGAAGGGCCAGATGTATACAAAATGGTGTCGTCTGCGTAGAGGTGGATCTGAGAGTCACCAGCAGCAAGAGCGACATCATTGATATACACGGAGAAAAGTGTCGGCCCAAGAATTGAACCCTGTGGCACCCCCATAGAGACTGCCATAGGTCCAGACAACAGGCCCTCCGATTTGACACACTGAACTCTATCTGAGAAGTAGTTGGTGAACCAGGCGAGGCAGTCATTTGAGAAACCAAGGCTATTTAGTCTGCCAATAAGAATGCGGTGGTTGACAGAGTCGAAAGCCTTGGCCAGGTCGATGAAGACGGCTGCACAGTACTGTCTATTATCAATCGCGGTAATAATTATAAAACAGACGACTTTCGGTCAACCAAGATTTTTGTTAGTCGGAGACAGCCCTAGTTGCAAAACTGGTCCTACTGCCTACTGAATTACAACTGACTGACATTCCTTAATGTCCAAAACACATGAAAACAAAAAACACACACCAAGATGAACTGGGGAATAAATAGATATACATGAGATTAGGGAGAAAAGAGGAACAGCAGCAGATCAAACCAGATAGTGTTCACTCCGTAGCAACTGGTGTTCAAAGCACAGCCACTCAGACAGGCTGCCCAGTGCAAGTTACCCACGTTCAACTGCGATAACCTCTCTGACCAAGTAAGGAGCGATAGTCGCCTGCTGTGCCCATCTGACCTGCAAGGCAGACATCAGCACAGGTGACAGACAGCAGTCTTCCTGCATGAAAAGACTATGAACTGCCACACACATCATTCTAACATCAACAGGCTCACAAAGCACTCTCTCATTCCTACTGAGATCAGTTCCAACCAGGCCTTTGTGTTACACAAAACTGAAACAAAAGACTATACTGCATAGGCCTATTCTTACTGTTAATACTGAAACAATTGTGATGTGAAATGCTCCGAATAGAAACTGACCCGTTCTGGCTGTGTGCTGGTCCATGTTGTTGTTATTTTGCACCACCCTCATAGGGGGCACCACCATGGTTCTCACAGGGAGCTTGCTGGGCTCGTTCTCGGGGTCCATGCCGTGCGTCGTCATACCCAGGGACTGGTGGTTGTGGTTGCCTAGGTAGCGGCTCTCCAGGTAGGGGCTGTGGCTCTGGCTGGAGTCCGAGGCGGGGGAACCGTCTACCGTCTCACAGCCGCTCCCATGACCATCATCCTCAGACATGCTGAAAACCGACAAAAGCAATCAACAACAAAATAACATAACTAAATGCCCATGCTTGCTACTGATGATCAAGACTTTGGCCCCTCAGGCAAGTTTTCAAAAGTTGTGCAGTTTGGCAGTACCTGTTGGGCCTCTTGCAGGGGGACGGGCTGGACTGCACCGAGGCAGAGGAGCTTGTGCTGAGGGTGCTGTCTGGGCTGCTGAGGGAGCACACCCTCTCGATGTTCAGAGAGCCCTTACAAGCCTCGCAGTCAGAGCCGCCTTTGCACCTGCAGGAGGAATCCTCCTCCCCGTCCGTGTCACTGCTGATACTGATGACGCTGAGGGTGGGGCTGGGCAGGTCGTCGATGACCACAGACTCTCGCTGCTGGTGGGACATGTCTATCCTCTCCTCCTCCACTGCCTTAGAGCAGCTCACCTCCTCTTCTTCATGTCGTCTTTCCTGCTGAACCTCCACAGGCCTCTCCCGATGGGAACAATCTCCTCCTCCTGTGTGACTAACGCGGTCGGCCATCTTTGGAGAGCGGCACATTGAGATTTGGATGTCCCTGTTGTTGTGTGAGTAGCTCATGCTCCTAATAGGTAGTAGAGTAAAAGCACTGAAGTTGTTTATCAGCACATTTTTACTATAGTTTATGTAAGAACAACATGATTTAGTAGAACACTCACTTAAAGGGAAAATCCACTCAAAAAAATAAATAAATAAATAAATAAATATATATATATATATATATATATATATATATATATATATATATATATATATATATATATATATATATATATATATATATATATATATGCAGGCACACTACCGGTCAAAAGTTTTAGGACACATACTCATTCAAGGGTTTATTTTTATTTTTTCATTATAGAATAATAGTGAAGACATCAAAACTATGAAATAACAAAAAAAAGTGTTAAACAAATCAAAATATATTTTATATTTGAGATTCTTCAAAGTAGCCACCCTTTGCCGTGATGACAGCTTTGAACACTCTTGGCATTCTCTCAACCAGCTTCATGAGGTAGTTACCTGGAATGCATTTCAATTAACAGGTGTGCCTTCTTAAAAGTTAATTTGTGGAATTTTTTTCCTTCTTAATGCGTTTGAGCCAATCAGTTGTGTTGTGACAAGGTAGGGGTAGTATACAGAAGATAGCCCTATTTGGTAAAGACCAAGTCCATATTATGGCAAGAACAGCTCAAATAAGCAAAGAGAAATGACAGTCCATCATTACTAAGACATGAAGGTCAGTCAATACAGAACATTTCAAGAACTTTGAAAATGTATTCAAGTGCAGTCGCAAAAACCATCAAGCGCTATGATGAAACTGGCTCTCATGAGGACCGCCACAGGAATGGAAGACCCAGTGTTACCTCTGCTGCAGAGGATAAGTTCATTACAGTTACAAGCCTCAGAAATTGCAGCCCAAATAAATGCTTCACAGAGTTCAAGTCACAGACACATCAACATCAACTGTTCAGAGGAGACTGTGTGAATCAAGCCTTCATGGTCAAATTGCTGCAAAGAAACCACTACTAAAGGACACCAATAAGAAGAAGAGACTTGTTTGGGCCAAGAAACATGAGCAATGGACATTAGAACGGTGGAAATGTATCCTTTCGTCTGGAGTCCAAATTTGAGATTTTGGGTTCCACCCGCCGTGTCTTTGTGAGACGCGGTGTGGGTGAACGGATGATCTCCGCATGTGCATTTCCCACATTAAAGCATGGAGGAGGTGGTGTGATGGTGTGGGGGTGCGTCGCTGGTGACACGGTCTGTGATTTATTTAGAATTCAAGGCACACTTTACCAGCATGGCTACCACAGCATTCTGCAGCGATACGCCATCCCATCTGGTTTGGCTTAGTGGGACCATCATTTGTTTTTCATCAGGACAATGACCCAACACACACCTCCAGGCTGTGTAAGGGCTATTTTACCAAGAAGGAAAGTGATGGAGTGCTGCATCAGATGACCTGGCCTCCACAATCCCCTGACCTCAACCAAATTGAGATGGTGTGGGATGAGTCTGACCGCAGAGTGAAGGAAAAGCAGCCAACAAGTGCTCTGCATATGTGGGAACTCCTTCAAGACTGTTGGAAAAGCATTTCAGGTGAAGCTGGTTGAGAGAATACCAAGAGTATGCAAAGCTGTCATCAAGGCAAAGGGTGGCTATTTGAAAAATCTCAAATATATCTTGATTTGTTTAACACCTTTTTGGTTACTACATGATTCCATATGTGTTATTTCATAGTTTTGATGTCTTCACTATTATTCTACAATGTAGAAAATAGTAAAAAATCAAGACAAACCCTTGAATGAGTAGGTGTTCTAAAACTTGACCGGTAGAGTATATATATTTTTTAATTAGTCCATTATTGATACAGTCCCAAAATGTTTTGCATGTCAACAGTGAAGTTTTCAAGATATTAGACTTTCATGAAGCAAAGTGTCACCAGCCACAACATCATGATGATACTAAATCAATAAATGTATTAAGCCAGACACAATGAACTCAGGTCAATTCAACAACAGCATTGATTTGCCATGGACCCTGTATGTAACTGGAACATGGAGAAGAAGCGTTGGGCTGAAGAAGGATATCTCACCTGTTCTGACTGGGCCGGTTCCTCTTGTTGGCGTGCGGCTGTGGCCACACCACGTGTGCAATGCCAATGTTGATTGGTTGTGGACCAGACATGGTAATTTGGTTGGTTAGAAGAGGCTGCATCATGTTGGTGTAATGATTGCTGTGTTGCCGTACTTTCCTTTAAAAAGGCAAAACAACATTATATACGTTTTATCTCCACAATACGAAGAAAGGGGCAAGTGAAGTATGTGTTAAAAAGGTAACTCATCTATGGTGAACTAACTCACCCCCAGTCACTGAGCCTCTGTGGGCCAGCCACAGTGTCAGAAGCCATAGTGGTGGTAGGAGGAGCCACTTGTTGCCAGGCTGGTACCAGGATTTGCTGGCCTCTACTTGACCACGGTTGCTGCAAAGAACAAAGACAGGAATCATTAGCACACCATAAACTTTTAAGATGCGGTAAGGGAAGCATCAAACTCCTAAACCGCCTCACTTGAAAGTGTTACCTCCGACTAGCATAGAGTCTAGGACCTCAACTAAGTACAGTGTGGCATCTGACCCCTGTATACAAATGTCCCCAATGTGAGCCAGTCTCACTTGTGCCATAATTCCAGGTCGCATCTGCAAAGGCTGTATGGGAGGGGCTTGGTTCACCATTGGTATTGTGTTCTCCATCCGAACTGCATATCCTGATTGGTTTGGGTTACCTACAAAACAACAAGCATAGCCTAGTATTGGATTTCAACTTTGATCGACATTGTCACTGTAAATCTAGAATTAACTTTGTATCTTTCATGGAATTACTTGACTGTGTGCTCATTTGAGACGCGCCATACCTTGAATGGTTGGGGGGCAAAGGATGAGGGCTGGCTGAAAGGAGTCGTTACACCCAAACTGACCATTTCCTGTCTGTAGCATCCCAGGATGCATCACAGAGGGAGCAGATTGCGTCAAAGCCTGCATAGGGGGTTAAGTTTAATCAACTATCTTTTCATTATCTACTTCAGACACTGAAGTGAGAGAGAGACAGCAGTGCCATTAAAGGTAAATATTATTCAATAGCATCAATAATACTGTAGGTGGCAATATTGGTTCAATAAGAAGTCTATTTACCCCAACCATAAATGTAACAGATTTCCAGTTTACGTCCATTCAGACCATATATGAAGCTTCTTGTAATTGTGATTCATAGATTACCTGGGAGTGAACCGATCCCATTTTATTGAAGGCCATTTGCAGTCCAGCTGAGTTGGTTGAGGGTCTGTGGAACGGTGCTTTGTTGCAGTTGAGTGTATCGTATGCGTTGGGCCGTGATTGACAGGCATCCATGATGTGGAAACACGATTGAACACTGGACAGAAGAAAGGGAGGAGAACGGGTGAGATGGAGAATCCAGCAGAGAGCACTCATGGAACACTGTAGCCTACTTCTGATCTGTGTCCATCTGCAATCAGTTTGTAGTTAATTTCTTGGTAGTGCATGGAAGAGCTTTTGTTTGTTTGTTATGTTATTGTTGTTTAGCCCTAGGTTAGACTTACTGATTGCTGTGGGGGAAGTCAAGAAGGTGCTGCATGGTGACAAAGGGATGCTTTAGGGCATCTGAGGGAGAGATCCTCTTCTCAGCATCGATCAGCAACATGGTCTTCAGCAGGCTCACAAACTCCTTCCGGTCTGCCTTTTCCGCCAGCGAGTCACTGCCCTCCATATTCAGCACCAGATTCACCTAAGACGGCAAGACAAAACCAGCATCTTTAGCTACTATGTATCAAAATACACCGGTATTCACTGGTCACACTAGTTTTCACAAAACATAAATTTACTTGTACGCAATTTCGTAGTTTGAATGACGTGATCGTCTGACATATTTAAGCTAAGTTTTGTACTCACATGTGCTATGTCATCCAGACTGCTAAAAATGTACTTCCTGGCCTCTTTGGATTTCATCCCAGTCTCAGTCTCATGCTCCTCTGTCGTCTGCAGAAACAAAAAATGGGAAGAGTCTTCAATTGTGAACATGCATTCTCTAGAATTCTACTTAGCGTACTCAGAACTGGATCGGTAGATGGTCTATGACAGGGGTCAGCAACAGGAGGCCCGTTTTTGGCCCACAAGTGATTTATTTATTTGCAAAAAAAATCTATTCCCATGAATAAAATTAGATATGTGATCGCGTCTCAATGTAATCAAAGTATGAAATGATTGTTATTTTCAAAAACAATCTATTTTTTGGCTTAGTTGTGGTAAGTTTGCAGTATTCAACATTACAAATTATGTTCCGGCCCCCCGACCATCTGCTCTGAGTTCGGCTGAATCTTTACTGAACAACAATATAAAACGCAACATGGAACAATTATCAAAGAGTTACAGTTCATATAAAGAAATAAGTCAATTGAAATAAATTCATTAGGCCCTAATCTAAGGATTTCACGACTGGGAATAAAAGATATGCACCGGTTTGTCAAAGATACTTTAAAAAATACAAAATAGTAGGGACCTGGATCAGAAAACCAGTCAGTATTTGTGGCCTGTGGAATGCTGTCCCACTCCACTTCAATGGCTGGCGAAGTTGCTGGATATTGGTGGGAACTGGAACCCGCTGTCGTACTCGTCCATCCAGAGCATCCCAAACACGCTCAATGGGTGACATGTCTGGTAAGTATGCAGGCCATGGAAGAACTGACATTTTCAGCTTCCAGGAATTGTGTACAGATCCTTGCGACATGGGGCTGTGCATTATCATGCTGAAACATGAGGTGATGGCGGAAGATGAATGGCACGACAATGGGCCTCAGGATCTCGCTACGGTATCTCTGTGCATTCAAATTGCCATCGATAAAATGCAATTGTGTTCGTTGTCCGTAGCTTATGCCTGCCCATACCATAACCCCACCATTGGGAACTCTGTTCACAATGTTGACATCAGCAAACACTCGCCCACACGATGCCATACACGTGGTCTGCGGTTGTGAGGCCGGTTGGACGTACTGCCAAATTCTCTAAAACGACGTTGGAGGCAGCTTATGGTAGAGAAATTAACATTAAATTCTCTGGCAACAGCTCTGGTGGACATTCCTGCAGTCAGCATGCCAAATGCACACACCCTCAAAACTCTGTGGTAAGTCGCTCAGGATAAAAGCGTCTGCTAAATGACTAAAATGTAAATGTATTGTGTTATGTGACAAAACTGCACATTTATTGTCCCCAGCACAAGGTGCACCTGTGTAATGATCATGCTGTTTAATTAGCTTCTTCATATGCCACACCTGTCAGGTGGATGGATTATCTTGTCAAAGGAGAAATGCTCACTAACAGCGATGTAAACACATTTGTGCACAACATTTGAGAGAAATAAGCTTGATGTGCGTATGGAACATTTCTGGGATTTTGTATTTCAACTCATGAAACATGGGACCAACATTTTACATGTTGACGTTGATATATTTTTGTTCAGTGTAGTTGCCTACCCCTGGTCTAGGATGTCCATGTTCAGGAATCAGATAGTGTCAGTGTTACCTTTAGTCTCCAGGCAGCGTAAGGCGAGTCAGACTCTTTGCAGAAGAAGCGGGATGTCTTGGTCCCCACGTTTAGCAGTTGCTCCCCATGGCAACACTTGTGTCTGAGATATGTAGCGAATCTGTGGAGACGGAGAGAGACAGAGGAAGAAAATATGATTACAGCGTTTACATCATTTTCCTGCTTGTTGGACGGACTCATATACAGTGGGGGAAAAAAGTATTTAGTCAGCCACCAATTGTGCAAGTTCTCCCACTTAAAAAGATGAGAGAGGCCTGTAATTTTCATCATAGGTACACGTCAACTATGACAGACAAATTGAGAAAATAAAAATCCAGAAAAACACATTGTAGGATTTTTTATGAATTTATTTGCAAATTATGGTGGAAAATAAGTATTTGGTCACCTACAAACAAGCAAGATTTCTGGCTCTCACAGACCTGTAACTTCTTCTTTAAGAGGCTCCTCTGTCCTCCACTCGTTACCTGTATAAATGGCACCTGTTTGAACTTGTTATCAGTATAAAAGACACCTGTCCACAACCTCAAACAGTCACACTCCAAACTCCACTATGGCCAAGACCAAAGAGCTGTCAAAGGACACCAGAAACAAAATTGTAGACCTGCACCAGGCTGGGAAGACTGAATCTGCAATAGGTAAGCAGCTTGGTTTGAAGAAATCAACTGTGGGAGCAATTATTAGGAAATGGAAGACATACAAGACCACTAATAATCTCCCTCGATCTGGGGCTCCACGCAAAATCTCACCCCGTGGGGTCAAAATGATCACAAGAACAGTGAGCAAAAATCCCAGAACCACACGGGGGGACCTAGTGAATGACCTGCAGAGAGCTGGGACCAAATTAACAAAGCCTACCATCAGTAACACACTACGCCGCCAGGGACTCAAATCCTGCAGTGCCAGACATGTCCCCCTGCTTAAGCCAGTACATGTCCAGGCCCGTCTGAAGTTTGCTAGAGTGCATTTGGATTATCCAGAAGAGGATTGGGAGAATGTCATATGGTCAGATGAAACCACAATATAACTTTTTGGTAAAAACTCAACTCGTCGTGTTTGGAGGACAAAGAATGCTGAGTTGCATCCAAAGAACACCATACCTACTGTGAAGCATGGGGGTGGAAACATCATGCTTTGGGGCTGTTTTTCTGCAAAGGGACCAGGACGACTGATCCGTGTAAAGGAAAGAATGAATGGGGCCATGTATCGTGAGATTTTGAGTGAAAACCTCCTTCCATCAGCAAGGGCATTGAAGATGAAACGTGGCTGGGTCTTTCAGCATGACAATGATCCCAAACACACCGCCCGGGCAACGAAGAAGTGGCTTCGTAAGAAGCATTTCAAGGTCCTGGAGTGGCCTAACCAGTCTCCAGATCTCAACCCCATAGAAAATCTTTAGAGGGAGTTGAAAGTCCGTGTTGCCCAGCGACAGCCCCAAAACATCACTGCTCTAGAGGAGATCTGCATGGAGGTATGGGCCAAAATACCAGCAACAGTGTGTGAAAACCTTGTGAAGACTTAGAGAAAACGTTTGACCTGTGTCATTGCCAACAAAGGGTATATAACAAAGTATTGAGAAACTTTTGTTATTGACCAAATACTTATTTTCCACAATTTGCAAATAAATTCATAAAAAATCCTACAATGTGATTTTCTGGATTTTCTTTTCTCATTTTGTCTGTCATAGTTGACGTGTACCTATGATGAAAATTACAGGCCTCATCTTTTTAAGTGGGAAAACTTGCACAATTGGTGGCTGACTAAATATTTTTTTTCCCCCACTGCCTTCAGAAAGTATTCATACCCCTTGACTTATTCCACATTTTGTTGTGTTACAGCCTGAATAAAAAATGGATTAATTCGATTCTCACCCATATACACACAAATACCCCATAATGACTAAGTGAAAACGAAACAGAAATCTCTCATTTACACAAGTATTCACACCACTTTGCTATGACACTCCAAATTGAGCTCAGGTGCATCCAATTTCCTTTGATAATCCTCTGCCTAGAGCTGGCCGTCCGACCAAACTGAGCAACCGGGTTAAGAAGGACCTTGGTCGGGGAGGTGACCAAGAACCCAATGACCACTGACAGAACTACAGAGTACCTTGGATGGGATGAGATGAGAGAACCTGCCAGAAGGACAACAGTCTCTACAGCACATCAACAATCTGGGATTTATGAGAGAGTGGACTGAGATCATAATGCAAAAGATTCTGTGGTCTGATGAGACAAATGTTACTTTCCATGTCTGGAGAAAACCAGTCACAGCTCATCACCCGTCTAACACCATCCTTACCATGAAGCATGGTGGCAGCTTTTCAGTGAGAGGGACTGAGAGACTGGTAAGGATAGAGGGAACAATGAATGGAGCCAAATACCGGAAATTCCTTGAGAACCTGCTTCAAAGTGCAAATAACCTTAGGCTGGGGCAAAGATTTACATTCCAACAGGACAATGACCCCAAGCATACAGCCAAAGCAACGCTGGAAATGCTTCAGAACAAGAATGTTAAAGTCCTTGAGTGGCCCAGCCAAAGCCCAGACTGGAATCCCATTGAAAATCTATGGAAAGACTTGAAGATTGCTGTTCACCACTGCTCCCCATCTAACTTAACAAAGCTTGAGAAAATCTGCAAGGAAGAATGAGAGAAAATCCCCAAATCCAGATGGGTATGTCTATCAACATTGCACAAGTCGACTGAAAGCTGTAATCGCCACCAAAGGTGCTTCTACAAAGTATTGACTCAGGGGTGTGAATACTTATGTAAATTATATATTTCTGTGTTTTCAATACATTTGCAAACATTTCTAAAAACATGTTTTCACTGTCATTACGGGGTATTGTGTCTAGATGGGTAAAAACATTTTTTTTTTAATCCATTTTGAATTCAAGCTGTAACAACAAAATGTGGAATAAGTCAAGGGGTACGAATACTTTCTGAAGGCACTGTACATCTACAAAGGAATCACCAACATTAAGGAAAATGGGAAAACGTGTAAACTTAAACGACTAAAACCAGATAAAAGTATGTAGAAAAGATAATGGACCTATATTTTCAAATAAGATCATCTTTGAGAACTAACAATCACCAGAATAAAAGCTAGACAGAGAATACAAAATTCCCCCCCAAAATGTGTATTGTATTTTTGACATTGCACAAGGCCCCCATTGATTTTGTTATAATGTTTGAGTCAGTCAGACAGACAGCATAAGCCATGGCAAGATGTGTAGAATTGCAGGAAATTAAGTTAACAGCTACATTTTGTCACTGCGGTCAACAGGAGGGCCTCTAAAAATGTTGGTCGGTGACCGCACCATTGGCCACGCCCATGGCAATGCCCCCGCCACGCCCACCCCCTAAGACCCATTTTGATCCAGAAAAAACCCTGATAGCACTACACAGATACTCATCAAGACAAACTAGACAAAGGAAAGTACAATAGTATTTTAATGCAGGATGTAAATAGAGCTGACCACTGCACTGTTGATGATGGCATGTGATGACTGGAGCTCCAAGTGTGGTCATAGAGCTCTGTGTGAGGTTTGTGTGACACAGAGGTGTCGAGCAGAACTTCCCATTAGAGGCATTCTGTCACTCCCACATCAGGAACCTGACACAGGCTCACTGCTATCCCAGCCCTCCCAAACATCCCCACAGTACAAAGACACTTAAGCCCAACAGAGTGTTTCGGTCTCTACTAATCCAAGCTAATCAAAAAGGTTAAATGTAGGTCTTCCAAATGGAGTAAATAGACACACGTCATACACTTGTAAAATGTAATCCCAGTAGGAATATCAGTTACTCTTCTGTTATAGCACTACTGCTCATCCCTTGCTACTTTGCCAGGTCAGTATGCTGAGAGCCACTTGACATGCCCAGGACAGATGTAATGTGCTCCAAAATTGCCATGGCAACCTTTCCAATCCCACAAAGTGGAGGTAGGGTGACCTAGATAAATGCAAAAACCATCACCTTATAAAATACATGTTGCTCATCTGGTAACAAAGCAAAAACAATAATGAAGTGATCATTATATCTTATTCAAACAACAATTTCATTGTTGCCCATGAGATCATTACTAAAATGATTTTTAAAAACAGCAATAGACCAGACTTAGATTTTTGGATACTTGATCTCCCATGGGAGCAGTGACACTGACAATATGACAGATACAAGTTAGCATCTGTCCCTGACAATAAAGCCAGTAAGGCCTATTGCTCAGAAAGGGTACTTCATAGCTATTCTCTTCCAGCCAAAACACTGTGCCTTAGAGCTGCTACAACTACAAGATCAGGCATGTGTTAGGCCAGGAGGCAGGGGTTTTTCTCACTGTGCAAAGCTGCCGCTGTATCTCTCAACACAGCCAGGAGACCAGCAAGATTAACTGGCTCTGTGAATGGCTTGATGATTTGGATGTTATAGAGATTAAAATCGGGTTGCCACAACGCTGCACAAACACAGTGAGAGCAATGAAGTGAGAACCTGCTGATGGTGCAGGCTGAGGGGGGGGGGTTGAGGTGTGTCTAGCATTAGGCTTATAAATAAATGTTGCTGTGTGGCGTGGAACTGGACCCAGTGCTGGCGAAGTGCAGCAGTCAGGGGGGCTCATGGTCAGCAAAGCACTACTGCCTGGTCGCGGTCCAAATGACCACTAGACCCAAAAATGACACCCCTACCCCAGCCTGTAGCACACAAACCCCACAGCACACAACTGAGAGCTTTCCCATGGCCTCCCCTTTAAGCCGGGGGACTCAGTCACAATCACGTAGTTACTGGCCTAAGGGAAATAATCAATTTCCTGCTCCATTAATGTCCAAATTAGACATTTTGTATTCGTATGCTTTACTGCTTAGAGCACCAACAAAATATCAGACAGGGGTTCAATAGGAACACAAACAAAAAGTGGAGGCTTTAACCAGCCTCACATTTAGAATCAAAATGCACCAGCACACAGGCTCAGGGGCTGTTATGCTGCTCCACTGGTCTGTCTGTGGCCAGTCTTCACTGAGCTGTCAGTATTGTTATTTTCCCTTGACACTCTGCTATCTTTGGAGATGTCAAGCAGGTGCATTGATTTACCTGGTCATACTCCAGTGCTCCTGGGTAGAGGGGCCAGCCCAGGAAGAGCTCAGCGATGACACAGCCCAGGGACCACATGTCGATGGCCTCACAGAACGGCAGGCCCAGGATGATCTCTGGAGCCCTGTATACAGGGAATACAAACAGGAAAGAGGTTAGTGGGGAGCAGTTTCAACAACCATTCTTAGACTAGAATACACATACACAACAGGCATTAGATTTGTTCTACTCATGGGAGGGCAGGGAACTCAAGAGAAGAACTTCTCACATGATTTATTGTGGGACCTCATGTATGAAGACCTTGAGGTCACACAAACAGAATGCAGTATGTACTGTATATTGAACTTCTATTAGTCCTTCACAAATATTGAAACAGAGCACACACGCGACACGTTTAATCAAGCTGAAGAGTGATGGTCGTGGACTTTGACGGCCATTAAGCAATTTTGCAGGCATTACTGCAAGTTTCCACTAAAAATTATGGCCAATCAATCAGTTACCATTTTAAAACCAAGGCTGAGCACAGCGGCTGCCTTGACAACAGATGAAACATCCATTGCCTAGCGATGGTCTGACGCAACACCCTAATGCAACCATTACAGAGTGACACACGAGGTAATCTGTGACATCCTACGGTAATCACTCGGTTTGATATCCTGCTGACAGGAAACGTCTGAGGATCAATGCTGAAACAAATTCAGCAGGGGAAGGTGTGACAAAAAAAGGCTTTTAGTACTAGAGAAGTGCATAATGGGGGGGTTTGAGCTCCGGTGCATCCTGTTTCCATTGATCATCCTTGAGATGTTTCTAAAACTTGATTGGAGTCCACGTGGTAAATTCAATTGATTGGACATGATTTGGAAAGGCACACACACCTGTTGACAGTGCATGTCTGAGCAAAAACCAAGCCATGAGGTCGAAGGAATTGTCTGTAGAGTTCCGAGACAGGATTTTGTCAACGCACAGATCTGGGGAAGGGTACCAAAACATTTCTGCAGCATTGAAGGTCCCCAAGAACACCTAGACTTCCATCATTCTTAAAAAAGGAAGAAGTTTGGAACCACCAAGACTCTTCCTAGAGCTAGCCGCCCAGCCAAACTGAGCAATCGGGGGAGAAGGGCCTTGGTCACTCTGACAGAGCTCCCGAGTTCCTCTGTGGCGATGTGAGAACCTTCCAGAAGGACAACCATCTCTGCAGCACTCCACCAATCAGGCCTTTATGGTAGAGTGGCCAGAAGCCACTCCTCAGTAAAAGGCACATGACAACTTGCTTGCAGTTTGCCTAAAGGCACCTAAAGGACTCTCAGACCATGAGAAACAAGATTCTCTGGTCTGATGAAACCAAGATTGAACTCTTTGGCCTGAATGCCAAGCGTCACGTCAGGAGGAAATCAAGCACCGCTCATCACCTGGCCAATACCATCCCTAAGGTGAAGCATGGTGGTGGCAGCATCATGCTGTGGGGATGTTTTTCAGCGGCAGGGACTGGGAGACTAGTCAGGATCGAGGGAAAGATGAACGGTGTGCCAAGCTTGTAGCGTCATACCCAAGAAGACTCGAGGTTGTAATGGCTGCCAAAGGTGCTTCATCAAAAGTACTGAGTAAAGGGTCTGAATACTTACAGAAATGTGATTTCATTTTTTTTTTTTATACATTTGCAAACATTTCTAAAAACCAGTTTTTGCTTTGTCATTATGGGGTATTGTGTGTAGATTGATGCAGGGGGAGAAAAAAAACTATTGAATCCATTTTATAACGTAACAAAATTAGGAAAAAAGTCAATGGGTCTGAATACTTTCCTAATGCACTGTATATATTCCTAAGGCAGAGACAATAAGAAGACATAGTGGCAGAATAAATTCAACCACACCTTTGTTTCATCACAAAACCTGAGAGCACCATCTGCCCAGGGAAGTACACAAAGCATTTTACATGTATCAAAAATTTACATAACCTACAGCATGGTCAAGCAAGTTAATGTTTCCAACATTTTCGGACTACTAAACAACCATTGATTTACAACCACAGAGAGCTACTGCAAGTCGAAAAGAAAACATGAGCTACCTCCACTATTCCAGCACCATTTCAACATCATCAACTCACCTATGCTTAGTTTAATATAGTGACAACTAAAAGATACCAAAAACGATTTGGTCCAAGCTAAATATGATGTAGCTGTCCATGGTGCTGATTTGTTTGTCCGCGTGCGAGTAGAAAAAAGCATGTTGACTCACCCTACTTGTAGAGAAGCTCCAATGCATCCTCCTCTTTCATGTTGCCGAAAAGGTCTATGAAGTCATACAGTACACGCTTTTATTTCTTGTTGTCCTAGGCAACCTGGCTAAAATGCTTGCTCGTTAGCCTACCTTCCTTTCATGGGCAACGATGCGCCAGGCCAGCTAGTTAACATTAGCTTACTACATCTAGCTATATATTGAACTTCCATCCTCTCAGGTTAGGGGCACAACGTATGAATTTATGGTTGGATCAGAATCGCCGTTATAATCATTGGCCAGTGCGGAGAACTAAGTAAAACCACAAGTCCAAATCCCTATCTCCATGCATGGCTAATTTAGTTAAGGGACAATTTTAGCTAGCTTGGTAGCCAGCCACTGGAGGACAACGACACAACGAGATGCAAAAATGCACGTTTTTTTCTGTAAATTATGTTCCGTTTTTGATGTGATGTGATTGGTGTGAAGCCAAATTCAAACTGGCTTCCCTTAACACAATGTTTTTGGTGCGCCAGGATCATTCACAGTTGAGCTCAACGCTGATTGACTATTATTTTATTTATTTTTTATAATTAAGGGAGGCCAAATGCTACAGGTGACAACAATGACATACTCTTTTTGACCAGACAGAATCAGATAGATGGGCTACACATACAGAGACAGAGGGGCGCTGTTTTGCTCGCTCAGATGCTTTCTCCAGTGAGATACATTCAACATCTTGCGAATTGAAAAAAAATTATGAAAACACAGAGACGAAAGATAAATGTTTATTTTATTATAGGTCAATTTTTGGGAGAAGCCTGGCTTCCCTTGGCATCCATGAGTACATGCCACTGGTTATATCATTCTGAACAAGTCTAACATCATATTGTGCAGCAGAGACCCATAATACTTCAGTTCGGATACTGACAAATAGGCCATCTAATTATTTCATGCAAGAAAGAATGAACAACTACTTCATCAAACCTATTTTGGACATCTGAAGAGTGGGCATGGCTATGAGACATCTAAACGATAAAATATCAACAGCGCAATCTGACATTGTGACCATGGGCACCCTCTCTTGCATCAGCAGTTAATTATGTGCCCTGATGACAGCATGGCTTAGCCCACCCAGCATACAGGAGGAGGGAGAGAAGACTCAGTTATTCTATATTCAGGACAACACTGGCAACAGCTGAGGGGCTCATGTACACCCACAGGGAGACTGTTAGTGTTAGCCTCAGGCACCATTGTGAATAAGAGATAACCAGACATACTTTCCCAACCAAATAGCTGTTATAAAGGCCTGTCTCTAACAGGAAGATAAGTACAGTTCATGTTTTTCTACCCTGGGCTGGAAGGGGAAGCCACAATTAACAATTTCCTGTCATTCCTAAAAGAGCAGAAAGCTAAAGCAAAGAAAGGACAGGGGAAACTGAGAAACACAAAACATTTCAACTTCAGTATCTGCTGCTTAATGTGGAAATTAGGTCTGAGTGCTATCTAGAGCAGAGATAGACTTCTCCATTCCTTTACTAATGTTTAGCAAAAAAGGGGAAGGGTGGTGGATGGGTTAAAAGGCACTCCTGTACATTGTGTGCTTACTGCCAAGTTCAGACGAGTCTGTTATGTCATATTACAAAATGTTCCGTTAGAGATATAGCCTAGCCTAGCCTATGCCAACGCCTATATCACACAAGCATGAACTAATATAGATAACATGCAAGTAACTGATTAATCCGGGCTGGAGCAGGAAGGTTATCCCCAGACAGTCTCCAGAGAACGTGTTTCCTAGGCTACTGTGAACGAGGATCTGACAGTCAGGTCAACCAGGCCTGGGTATCCGCCTCCCTGTTGTCCAGGGGAACTCTGCACACTGCAGCTGTTCTGGGGAAAACACACGTTTTCCACAGGCCCAGGAGCAGGGAATATCTAACCATGGCCCTAACTAACTTCCATCGACTAAAATAAACACTACATGTGTCAGGGGAATGGAGATTAGGGGGGAGCTGTGAGGGGGTTTCCTCAAACTGTCAGCACAGCTGGGTACAGGCGAAGACAATCTTTCTGAGCGACATTGGCCCTCCATTCCTACATCAGTTTATTCCAGTTCAGACTGTTCTCACGCTGTGTCTAGAGACATACGGCTCTCCTGCCACGGTTCTCAACTTGCGGGGCTAAAAATACTCTGTCTCATGGGGTGGCTAGTTAGCAATCTCCACAGCTGATAATCACAGCCATGTGTGCTTTGGAAAAACTTGGGAGATTGGAAAATGTTTAAATGTAGTACATCAACCTTCCATTGTGAGGACTTAACAGCGATCATGGATAATGACCCAACTTAGCCCATTACCCAAGCAGCAAGAACAAAAGCTAACTGCCAAAATAAAGGAAACACCAACATAAAGTGTCTTAATAGGGCGTTGGGCCACCACGAGCCAAAACAGCTTCAATGCACCTTGGCATAGATTCTACAAGTGTCTGGAACTCTATTGGAGGGATAAGACACCATTCTTCCACGAGTAATTCCATTATTTGGTGTTTTGTTGATGGTGGTAAAAAAACTGCTCTCTCAGGTACCGCTCCAGAATTTCCCATAAGTGTTCAATTGGGTTGAGATCTGGTGACAGAGTGTGCGTGAGTGAGTGGCTGAACCTGTGTATATGTGCGTATACATATCGGACTATTTGTGTGCGAGTGTCGCTCTCACACCCAGCAGGGAAAGCATACCGCTCATAACTGAACTGCGGCACTGTGATAAAGGCTGCAGCCACGGCCTGCCTTTCCAGAATCTGCCCGTACAATGCACATATTCCATGGAACACAGCACTGTGTGGAGTCCCGTGTGTGTGTGTGTGTGTGTGTGTGTGTGTGTGTGTGTGTGTGTGTGTGTGTGGGGGGGGGTGGG